AAGAGAGAGACGAGAGAGAGAGAGGGAAAGTGAGAAAGCAAGCCACCAGTTCTAGGACTTGAACCATGTTCAGACATGTGGGAGTGTCCAGCACCATAGGCACCATGCCACCAGCTGGTCCCCTGCAATAGTACTTTCAACTTATCTTCCTAGCTGTAAAATTAACTAAAATATTACCCTCAAAATAACCACTTTCAAAAATTTGTTTACCGTATGGGACACTATTAAATGATATGAAAAGAACCCGCAGAAGAAAACATTTGTATGCATTGATTGTATCCACTAATAATGTAGCATCGAGTTCATATTTTTTAAAAATTGTACTACTCAGCAATAGAAATCTGATTAAAAATGGACAAAGGACTTTAATAGATTTTAAATAAAGATGATACATGAATTACAAGCACATACAAACATACTTAACATCACTAGTCATTAAGGACAAAGCAGAACCATTGTATCCCATTTGACAATCACCAGGATAGTCATAATAACTTTTTAAATTTTTTAAAATTTATATTTAATCACTGTGCATCTTTAAAGTGGGCTACATGGTATTTCACAGCATGACTATGGCATAAGTTATTCAAGTTAAAGACATTACCACATATATTATCATCAACAAGTACATTTTTATTTTTATGTCTATTAAATGTTTCCCTCTCCTGGTCCCCTCCCTCCCAGCTTCTATTCCCCATCCCCTTCTCTACCGTCTCTTATCTCTACAGTGTGCCTCACTGCTATTACACCTTCCAGTCTCTCCGTTTATTCTATAGAGTACAGACATTCGGTATATATTAAGCAGGGACATAGATCTGTTTTCACAGGCTAGTTAATAACATTAAAGTTAGTGTGTTTCTGGGACCAGCAGACGGTGTGGTAGTTAAGGACACTGGACTCTCTCATGACCAACCATAGTTCAAGTCCCAGACCTGGCGGCTTGCTTTCTCTCTCTCTCTGTCTCTCCCTGGTCAAATTTAAATAAATAGATAAAGTTAAATAAAATAATTCTTAAAAAAAAAAGTGAGTGTATTTCAGACATGTTCAATTTGAGGTATTTGGGCTTAACTTATTGAATATATTTAAGTTCTCTTGAAATTTTATACATCTGAATACCTTAAGAGAAATTAAATTATCTTACCTTTTGTCCTTTAGAACTCGCCACTGAAAATAGTGGTGCTTTATTAATTTATGTTAGTTTTAGTTATTGGTTTGGGGGAGAGTACAAGCTTTCTCTTTGCAAACAATGAGACTTACAGCTTTGAATAATTATGCAAGTGGTATAAAGCAATCAGCTGCAGCAAATTCAGACATGATCAATTAATCAAGGAAGTATAGAAAGTGAAACTCCTAAACCCAAGGCAGAGAGTCCACCCTATTAAGGCTGTGCTCCTTCTCTTGAGAGTTAGTCTCTGCTAAACACTGAAAAGTCTACAATTTGAAATATGCCAAGCCATAATTAAAACATACACTTAGTTTACACTGAGGTAATTGATCTGCAGTTTCCCCAGTGAACCACTTATACCCAAGGGTAACTTGGGCATTTAGAGAAGAACAAAAAATATCTAATTGTCATGAAGCTCCACTAAGCATAGTACTGAATTAAATGCTTTATTATTAATCAGACTATGCCTCCAAACTTCTGAAATCCAATTAAAATATAATCTCTATGTATTTCTACTAGAATGACACTCATGTTATTCAATAATTATTTCTTCCTTTAACAAATGTTTAGTGAATTTATTTCATAGAGTGGACACTATTCTTGGTACTGGTAAAGTACCAAACAAAATTCATATTTTCCACTCCATGAAACTCAGTCTGAAGTCTAGGAAAATAACTATCACATGGAAATCTGAAAAGTAAAGTCCAAAATGACTGGGCATTATATGAGTTACCACTCTTCCCCAAGGACATTCCGACCGCTCTTTCCCAAGGACATTCCGAATCACTATTGTTTTCCTCTTTCAGTTTGCTCACTCTGAAGCAAATATATTTATCTCTCTGCTATTCCTTTAACAAGGAGTATTTTGCCTCCAGGTCTTTCTATTTACTTTGTGCGTACCTGGAGAGCTCTATCATAAACATTTATGCCTGCCAAAGTATTATTTCTGCAGAGACCTCTTCCTGAATTCTGCAACATCTTAGTCAATTGATTACCTTCTTTTTCTTCTTTTCTTTTTCTCTTTCTTTCTTTCACTTTTCCTCTCTTTCTCTCTCTTTTTTTTTTGGGGGGGGGGAGGCATACACACACATGTGCCCAGTGTGAGTTTTAAACTTCTGCATCTGGGACTCAAACCAGGGTCAACCATGTGGGAATCCAGCCCCTTAACCACTATGCCACATGCCGGCCCCTGATTGCTATATTATTCTTGAAAGCACCACTACTTATCCATGTAAATGTGTGCACAGTTGTGCATGCATACACATACATGTATGTATACATACATGTGTGCACACAAATGAATACATGTATATACATGCAATATAGACTGTAATCCCTTCTTCACTTAAAAATAAGTTTCATGATATAAGAAATTTTGTTTGTTTACTGTTACATCTCCAGTACACGTCATGTGGAAGTATTTCAATGAGAGGGGTTTGAATAAATTAAAAATTATTTTTAGTAAATACCACTTGAAACCTAATATGGAGAAGATATTTTAAACCTAAAGCACATAAATATGATTCTAAGGTACAGTCCCTCAGAGTGGTAAAATAGCAGTGGTTATGTTTTGCATATGTCTGAGTATGTAACTAAGTTAGGAAAGCTAATATCTTAATATCTTAATTCTTTCCTTTGTCCAAATCCTCAGACTCGAAGTTGTTAATTCAGTATATGAATCTGAAACTCAGGTGAGGGTCCCCAATAAAGGTATGGATCCTAGGATCCTTGCAGATTTCTTAGATTACCAAAGAATTGGGTGTGGATGAGGAAACAAATATAGAGGCACAAATCTTTTAATCCAACACTTAGAACCCAATGTGAGGAAGAAACGACATCAAAGATAACTGGGATGGAATAGCCATGGAAGGAAAAAAAAATACCATAAGAATTAGGTGACACTGAGACCAGCAGGTAGTGTGGTGGTTGAGGTGCTGGACACTCCCACATGTCTGACCATAGTTCAAGTCCCAGACCTGGTGGCTTGCTTTCTCACTTTCTCTTTCTATCTCTCTCTCTCTCTGTGTGTGTGTGTGTGTGTGTGTGTGTGTGTGTGGTGTGTCTAGTAAAATAAAAATAAATGAATGAATAAATAAAATTAAATAAAATAGTTATTTTTAAAAAAGAATCAGGTGACATAGAAGGATAGAAAAAGATGCTTCAAAATAATGGTAAATGGTCCTCAAATATCAAGTAAGAGTAAGATAGAAAAGCAATCTTTGATGTGATTGTGTTGAAGTGCCCTTGAAAAGATCAGGCTCCCTGACTAGTGGGGGAAAAAAAGAAAGACAATTGAATCATGTTGAAAAGTAAATTGAATATCTGGAGATAAAGGCAATGAGTAGAGGTAATTGTTTTGAGAATAGCATTAATAATTATAAATGAGTGGGGCCAGCAGCTGGTATAGTGGTATAGGCACTGGACTCCTGTATAGCTGACTGCAGTTTCAGTTGCAAACCTGGTGCTTTGCTTTTTCACTTTCCCTATCTTTTTCTCTGTGTGTCTCTCTGGTAAGCATACATGCTCTATAGCAAATTAAAAAATAATAATAATAAGTAAAGTTATAAAATAATTCTTAAAAAAAAACTATAAAGGGGAACAGGGATATTGGCAACAGAATGGAATTTTAGTAAAATTTATTAAGAAGGATGACACTAGATGATGTTTGTAAACAAAAGAAGATATTCAAGTAGAATCTGAGAAACTAAATCTTAGGGAGAGAAGAGATGTGCAATCATTACAAAAGTGAAGTCCACATGAAGCTCTGAAGATGTGAATGGGCTCATCTTGGGTAGAAATGGAAACAATTTATCCACTATGATAAGAAGGAACAAGGAGTGTATGTACACTGATTTAGAGATGATAAGACAAGAGTAATTGTATGCTATTGTTTGTATTTTGGAGACCGAAATATGAGGCAAGATCAACAACAGAGAATAAAGTGCTGAGCAATTTCCTCTAACTGCACTAAGCGGCTTAAGTGAAGAACAGAACAAAGAAAGAAGTTCAACTAAGTTGGCATTTAGTCAAATGAGTAGAATGGAATACAGTGGGACAAAGGACTGAGGACAAGTGAAAATGAGTTGTCATGGAAGAGATCGTGGAGGGGCCAGCAATGACATAATATTACATTGCTGGACTCTCACATAGTGAACCATGGCTTCAAACTCATGCTGGGTGCATGTGAGTGTGGAGGCTCAAAATCCTGATAAGAGAATGGAAGAGAAGGGATTGTGGCTATCCCCCCAAGTGTGACCATCCCTCTAGGTGGTGATTTCTTATTTTTTGTCTCTCTGTCTCTCTCCGGTGAGCACAGGCACCCAATTACAAAAACCTCTCTAAAAAAGAGAGAGAGAGAGAGAGAGTTCATGGAATCTTGCCTGAAAAACATGTGAATTGTGAATATTAGAGTAATGATGATAAAGTACCACTTTCTTTAGATATAATAGCAACTGAATGACATATTATTGTAGATGAGGTAAAATAAAAGGAAAAGGGAAAGGACAGAGTAAGTGACAGTTATAGATGCATTTGAGAGAAACCTTTACCAGCTGAAAGTGGAGTTATGGCTAGATAAGAAGAGGGTTTGAGATGGGCAGTGTAAAATAAGTCTTCCTTCATTGTCTCTAACCATGTTTTCAGTGATGAGGTGGTCTCACTTGGAGCATGAAGAACACTGGTGTTCCCACTGATGGTTTGCAATGAATGGCAGAGAGGAAAAAAATAGGGACTGGACATTTACGTGATTCTAAATCATTATTTAAACCTCCTTCCACATAACATCTCAGCAAGGAGAGCTGTTGTCCCATTACTTCAACATCGATAATGCTCCAACAAACTAAAATAAATGATATATAGACAGTTTCTTTGATGATAGTTTATTGGAAGTTAGGTGAAGGCCTCGGAAGTAATAGAAATGAAATGTTAAAGTACATTGATAACTACCTCAAAATATTCCAGTTAATTCACAAAGTCAGTACTATATTCCCATATTATTGGTATGGCTCCCCGATTATTACAGCTACCTGATAAGACGTTTTTATGCATCTCACTTGTTATTCTTGTAGTATTATGGGTGGAATAGTGTTATTATTTATAGTTAATGACATACCTCTATACACTACTCACATTTGCCTTTCAGGGTTTAAGTATTTATTTTCCCAATGTCTAGACATATTGGTAACAGTTCCTATCTGATTTCTACTCTTGGATTTTCCCATTGAAAGGAATTGTCTTGCCCACAATTATGTTCCCTTCCAGTGGGTAAGTCACATCAAAGAGTCCCATTAAGAATATACTAAAACCTGGTCCTTTTCACAATTTGAGACATTTGCTGAGGGTCATCTCAGCTCCAGAGTTCCATGGGGAACTAAATGATTCCTCCTGTTGCAATTTCACCCCAATTAAACTTCTGTCCATTCTTGCTTCCCTCACCATATAAATATTATTCCTGGGAACACCTTCCAATAAACGACCTCAATATGAATGAATATTTCAGAGTTTGTTTGCTGGGATTGATACCAAAGACACAAACTAAATATTTCACTAGGAACCTAAGTGTAGGTCAGTCGATTCTAAGTTACTTGATACTTCTACCAAGTGCTATCTATATCCACTATGTGATCCATCAAATGGGTTATTGTAAACATTTAGGACACTAGGAGATTCAGAAGTAAATATCATGTTAAAGCATCTACTTTAACACAGAGAAAGAGGTTAAACAGTCACAATAAAATTAATATGAAAATACTTTTTCTCCTACACAACAAAACCCTGGATAACATGGTTTTATGGTCCATGTTTCTGTAAAATTTTCTTCAGGGCCTCTTTCACATCTTTATTTTTCAAACTGTAGATGAGGGGATTTAGCATGGGGATTACTACAGTATAAAAGACAGAGACAACTTTGTCCTGCTGCATGGAGTAGCTAGATGTAGGTCGCAAGTACATAAAGAGTATTGTCCCGAAGAATATGGTGACAGCCATGAGATGGGAGGCACAGGTAGAAAAGGCTTTGTGCCTGCCTTCTGATGAAGGCAACTTTAAGATGGCAATGAGGATACACAGGTAGGAAATAAGGACAATTGTAACACAGCTGATGACATTGAAACTGGAGAAAGCCATGATCACAATGCCATTGATTCGGGTGTCAGAACAAGAGAGTTTCAGCAGGGGTGGGGTATCACAGTAGAAATGGTTGATTCTATTAGAGCCACAAAAGGACAACCTGAAAGTCATCCCTGTGTGTATGGCTGCATTTCCAAAGCCTGCTAGGAATGAGGTAGCTACTAGAAAGAAGCAATTTCTCCTAGACATGAGAACTGGGTATAGCAGTGGGTTCCAAATGGCTGCATAGCGGTCATAGGCCATCATGGCCAACAAGAAGCATTCCGTCCCCAGGAAGGATCCAAAGAAGAAGAACTGGGCAGCACATTCATTAAAAGAAATGGCCTTATTCTCAACCATAAGATTCACCAGCATCTTAGGTGTGACAGAAGAAGAGTAAGAGGCATCAACGAAAGAGAGGCTGCTGAGAAAGAAGTACATGGGGGTGTGAAGACTGGGGTCCATCTTAATCAATACTATCATTCCCAAATTACCCACCATGGTTGCCACATAAATGAACAGAAACAACACAAAAAGGACACCTTGAAGATCTGGATTTTCTGAGAGTCCTAAGAGGATAAATTCTGTCACTTCCGTTTGATTTCTACTCGGGACTTCTTTCATATATCTGATCATTTGAGCTGCAATAAAAGAGAAGATGGCACATGGCATTTGGTCAGATGTTACATGATGGAGCTATAAATATATGTCAAGGACACATAAATTCTAAGAGAAGAATGAAAGGTGAAAGTCTAATAAAAAGTATGCTTGAGTAGGTGTCAGGTTCAAAAAATCATATCTGAATACAAGGTAACAGACAACATACCTACTAATTAATGACAAGGAACTGATTTGGTAACAACTGGTTACAATCACTTCTGGAATTCAGTATTGAATATAAATAAGCACTTATTCTTCACAGATAACTACTTTCTTCATTATTGGTAATCAGTAAATTAATGTATATATTAAGCTACCCTCTAGGTACAATTTCTAGAGGAAGATGATAGAATAAATTTAGAACACTGACTATTCCTCCTCAGAACTAATCAAATGAATTAAAAATATTGAAATCTAGCAAAACTAACTAACAGCACCAAACAAGGATTATAGTTAAATTTTCTGTGTGTGTGTGTGGGGGGGGGAGGGATTTAAATATATATGGCCAAGGAAAGAAATAGATGGTATTCCCATATAGCCAGTATGGTTGGTACCCTAATCCAATTTCCCAGTATCAGCATGCATAGAAAATAGGGTCTGTTAATAACTGATAATTTTCAATAATGCATTATAATACTCAGATTATTAAATTATAATGAGAAAATGATAGAACTAGCTACAGCAATGAAAACTCCTAAAACACAGACTCAGCAAACATCAGAAGTAGCATACAAAATTTACTAGTCTGCCATACTGAGTAAGGGGAATGATTTAATACCAAGTAATATACTTGTAAATAGGATTCACCCCTTGAAAGGTATAGTGAAGCAGATATTAATCCCAAAACACATGAATTAGGTTATCTTGATTAGATGAGGTTTGCTAACTATGGGGGTTTCTCATCTAAGCACTGGTGTATCCTGGGCTAGAGCTTAGGTCTCTTTGTTCCAGTTTATTTGTTGTTCCTCAATGTCATATTTCTTATCTCTATATTTTACTGACAAAGATGTATAGTCTAATTCCTCTCCCTTTCCTTGGAGTGATATTGATACTTGAACTTTCTCCAGAAGTAATGGAAAACTAGGAATGACTCTTTGTTCTCTCATCCTCAGACAGTAAGTTTCCTACACAATATTATTCAAACATAAATAGTGAAAATAAGATAACTCATATGTGCTAAACATACAAAGAAAGAGATGAAAAAGCCATATTCAAATATATTAAATATAAATGTGCTAAGATCTGTTTAGGATTGCCTATGCTACACAAAGTCTGTTAAATATTTTGCCTGTATTAACTTGCCCAGAGTCACAAAGTTAGCTTAATGGGGCTAAATTTCTACTGAGCTAATGAAACTCAATTATTCTCTTAACATTTGAGGTAATTTAGAATGGCCCTGTCAATGAAAGAAGTGACCACTAATACACAAAGTACTTAATATTGTCATTATTAGAGCTTTACTAACACTCTAAAGTACATTTAGTTACAGACCAGCAGATGATTGTCACTGGACTCCCACATCGTCAACACAGTTTGAGTCTCAGACCTGGGGGCTTCAAGCTCACGACGGCCGTATGTGCATGCGTGCCCAAAATCCTTAGAGAGGAATGGAGGAGAAGGGATTGCAATGTGGTCATCCCTCCCTGGGGGTGGTAGAGGAGGCAATTTCTTGCTTTCTGTCACTGTCTCTCTGTCAAGTACCCTATAGCAAAAATCTCTCTTAAAAAATTTAGTCACATTAAAAATACACATTTCTACTAAAGAGAAAAATATAATTATAGTTGCTAAAATTGTCTTTCTTAGAGCATGTAGTCATTAATTCATGTCGTTAACAAAATAGCTGTGTTACATATGGTGCTGTTAATTGTATGTTTTCATCTTTCCCTCTATTTCAATAAATCCATTTTCTTTTCTTTTCTTTTTTTTTTTTGAGAGATTTTTGCTATATGCGCATGTGCTCACCAGAAAGACAGAAAGAGAGAGACAGAAAGCAGGAAATTGCCCCCCAGGGGGGATGGCCACGCCACAATCCCTTCTCCTCCATTCTCCTCTCGGGATCTTGGGCACATATGCACATGCACCTGGCGTGAGTTTAGGCCACTAGGTCCGGGACTGGAATAGCGATCGGCTACATGGGACTCTAGCAACATAGCCATTACACCAACTGCTGGTCCAGATAAATTCATTTTCTACTTCTCTAAAATATCTCCCACATACACTCCCCTGAGATTTTTTTCAGTCACTCCTCTAGTCCAGAGATTCTGGAGCTGAGTTTTCATATTGGAACTTTGAGTCAATATGTTATTGGAGAAACTGACAAAATTGTAAAAATTTTTCTGGTCAATAAGCTGAAATAAGTGGAAGAAAGAACTCATTTAACTTTTCCTTACCTTTTATGACGACTTCACTTCTATTTGATCCCTTTACTTGCTCTGGTCTAATGCCTACATTCACCAAAGAAGAGAAGAAGAAAATTAACTATAAACCTTTCTTCTTAGAGAAGACTCTAACTCTCCCAGGTCAGGCAGGAGCATAGTAGGAATGGGCTTCAGAGAACATTCATTACTTTGCATCTGAATTATTTTGCCATCTGCAGAGAGTGCTTTTCTTTCTCCCTTTCTTTCTTTCTTTCTTTCTTTTTTTCTTTCTTTCTTTCTTTCTTTCTTTCTTTCTTTCTTTCTTTCTTTTCTTTCTTTCTCCCTAACCTTTCCTTAAAGATAAATATCCCAACTTGGCAATCATAATTTCATAAGTTATGAAATATAGAGTGCATTGCTGTAGTGCAGCTGTAATGTAGTTTGCAGGGTTCTTTTCCAATTGTAGAGTCTCAAGAACAGACTCTGAAATAAACAACCTAACTTATTTTAAGGAGGATATATTTCTTGTTCTTTGGTCTTTAGAGAATTATCCCTCATGTTCCCTCATTTTAATCTACTTATTTTACCCCTCTGAAATTAAGAAAATTACAGATTTCTTTTATGTTTCTCTCCTTTCCCCTTGGGACACTGGGCCCAGTGGAAAACGAATGTTGAGTCCCATGGTTTAACTACCATTAAACACCATTCTCGGTCTCCTCTGATAGCTGGTGCTTTGGTCTCTGCGATAACCACAGGAAACCATAAAGTAATAGATTAGCTCTCTCCGTAGCTGTACCTTCTATCAGGGCTCTGTACACATATAAGTGGTGTATCTGAATCATGGTGAGAGAAATGAGTAGAAGAAACATGGGAAATAAAAGAAATAAGGACTCTATTGGCTTGGAATCTCAACCTCGTGGCTCACTATTTGATTTGGGATATTTCCCTAGTTCTCTTTGTGCCTTAACATTGTCATTTCTAATGCCTACTTCATAGGGTGTCTGGAGAGAAAATAAATTAATAAATGTAAATCACTGTATCCCATACTCCACCTTGACACTCTTCCCCATGTTTCAAAGTAACAAATAGTTACCATCCTGAGTAGCCTAGATTGACACAAGATACCTCAAGCCCAATATATCTTTCCTACAAAAAAAAAGAAAAAAACAATTGAACTATATCTGATAATTATTTACATTATTTGTGTTACTTTAAGAAATACTACAAGTGTGATGTCTCTCGGTACCACTTAAAGGATGTAATTTTCACTAAATGCTGTAGGATACAAAGATTTAAAAGATGTATTGTACTATTTACAGCAATTCAGACAAAAATATTTGCATTATTTCAGGTTTCTTAACTCCTTTCTTTTTTTATTAATACCTGAGAAAAAAATACAATATGTTTTTATTAATGCAGAGCCTAAAATATAGCTGAACACCAATATTTATTCACTAAATAAATACCTTTTTTTCATCTAACTATAATTAAATTATTATATGGAAGCAATCTGTGATAAGTTAAATGAAATTAAACTGTATACAGCTAGAATGTGGTTGGAGATTGGAAAAATAATCACATGGCACTTGGAGGATGGTGGTAAAGAGCACAGGATGTCAGGAGCACAAGTAATAGCAGAAAGGTAGAACAAGACTGTCGGACAAGAAGTAATTAGGTCGGGAAAAGACAGGTGGTGGAATCTGCTCAGTTATGGACTATAAAACAGAGCATACCAAAGAGATTCAGATTAAAAAAAAGAATTTATTTCTGATCCTAGTTAGAGTATCATCAAAGAACCAGATGCTGTATTTCTATGCCACCAAGATGGAGACTATTAAAATTTAGGATGAAATGTTATGTCTGTGGAACATTCTGAAAATTAACACTGGAAAAGGGACTTTTAATTTGGTATTACAAGACATGGATTCAATTTTTAAAATGGATCCAATTTAAAAATAGACAAATGATAATATTTCTGACTGAACCAATATACACGTATTCAGGATGGGAAAATTCACTTGGATGTACAGTGATTGAATGTAAAATAAATAAATTTATTAATTAAATTAAAAATGGGCAAGTGAGTTGAGCAGACAACTCTCTAAGGAAGACATACAAATAGCCAAAAGGGAAATGTACTCCACCTTGACACTCTTCCCCATGTTTCAAAGTAACAAATAGTTACCATCCTGAGTAGCCTAGATTGACACAAGATACCTCAAGCCCAATATATCTTTCCTACAAAAAAAAAAGAAAAAAACAATTGAACTATATCTGATAATTATTTACATTATTTGTGTTACTTTAAGAAATACTACAAGTGTGATGTCTCTCGGTACCACTTAAAGGATGTAATTTTCACTAAATGCTGTAGGATACAAAGATTTAAAAGATGTATTGTACTATTTACAGCAATTCAGACAAAAATATTTGCATTATTTCAGGTTTCTTAACTCCTTTCTTTTTTTATTAATACCTGAGAAAAAAATACAATATGTTTTTATTAATGCAGAGCCTAAAATATAGCTGAACACCAATATTTATTCACTAAATAAATACCTTTTTTTCATCTAACTATAATTAAATTATTATATGGAAGCAATCTGTGATAAGTTAAAT